GGATAATGTGACTGATACTTTACTAGTTTAAATATTCACAAGTCGGCCATTCGTCGTCCGATCATCGAGCGCTGTGCTACAGTTTGATTTTAAGCGTCGGCCGAAATTTTAAACACCCTTATTGTCCAACGACGGACGACCGACTTAATAAACTGACCACCGATGGTCGGACGATGATCGGAGGTTGGTCGACGGATATTATCAATTGAAGGACTCGGCCACCGACGCATAAAAAATTATAACTTGGACCGATAGACACAAAATTGGTCGGCCGACAAAAAAAGAGGTCAAAATCGGGCAAGACAACGGTCGATGAACTTCCGACTGTCACCCGAAGAGTCCCATTTTTGCTTCAAAACCCGTCGGCCGTTGGTCGTTTTTGGAAATGTGACTGGGGTTTTAGTCACATTTCCCGGCACATGGCCGTAGACTGGTGGTAATCCGTGGTGTTAGCGATGCCCCAACATCGGTTCACATCAGCCTAGTAGTTCTTAAAGTATAAGTCAAATTATCCAGCGATGAAGTATACGATGTGCAACCAATGCGATTTTTTATAAAAAAAAAAAAAAAATGGCGTGATTTCCGGCCGGACTTACAAAGGCCCAGCGATGCATTGCTAATCATAAAACGAAGTTCAAGGGTAATCGGCCGATGTATATTACATCGCTCATACATTGGTGAACATCGCTCGTACTTCGGTCGACTATGGGCCGTTGTATGGTCAAACACCGACAAATGATCGACCGCTGTCTGTTGCCCTCCACTCAACCCCCAGTGACCTCAGATTCAACGGACACTTGACGATGCTCGGCCATACATCGGCCAATCCTTGAAAAATGTGCTAATGATGGGCTGCCGACTTATAACTACAACTTATTTTCTACCGATGACCCCTACCGATTCGACAAATGGTCTCAATCACCGTCCGATTACAATAGGTGTCCGGCATGCAACCACGCCATTTTTATCAAAAACGCATCAGTTTCTCATCGTATAGTCCATTGCTGGATATGTGACTGATACTTTACTTGACTGATACTTTACTTGAAAAGGACGTAATGGTAATAATGCTAATAACCAAACTTTTTGATATACGTGTGACTTTTTTTTACTTACGCAGCAATATACTTTCATCACCTGCATACGGGGTTTATATCTCTCAGTTTATTCGATACGCAAGAGCATGCTCTATGTATCAAAAATTTCTAAAACGAGAGAAATTATTGACAAACAGGTTGATGAAACAAGAATATAAACAATATAAAAGTTCTATGGTCAATACAATGACCTTGTCAGCAATAGTATACAAATGGAAATTTTAGCGCGACGCAAATTTAGCGATTTGTCCGTAAAATTTGTATTTTACTTTTAGTGAGAAGTAATTTTAGCGATTTCAAATGCTCATTAAAGGAGCTTTTACAAATAAACCGTAATTATTTTATTGCAAGGATTCAATTTAAGCAATTTCAACACCCTCGCTAAGAAGGCTAAAATTAAATCAAAAATTAAAGATATATATGCCGTATTAGTATTTCATTTTAAAAGAAATAAATATATGTGGTGTCTCATCAAGTTATATAAGTTATAATTTTCTGCAAATAAGACAATTACACTCCATCAGTTTTAAGTTATGAAATATTATTTGGTAAAAATTATTTTCTCTCCGAGTCGGATAATAAACCGCCTCTTATTGAAATATTCATGATCACGTGGTCTCGCATGTTCACAGCAAACAATGGTCCAGTCTCGTGAATGAACCGAAAAGCATGATGGTCTACTATGTTTTTACTACAAACACGTGAGTTAGGGATTGTCAATACGTGAGCACACCTCAGATCAGAGTTGGTTGCTTTTTGTACCGAGGATTAATCACGTGCATTTGTCTTTTCACTAGCAGTACAGCACGGGGAAACTCTAAACAAACGGACTTGTACAATGGAGTGGGGAAAACTTTAATTTTTATCATTGTTAATCATTTGTATGCAAATATGAGCATGGGAATAGTAGATAATAATGTACATAATGCATTAAGCGTGTAATTGCTTGGGAAAATGCATCAAGCCTTTCCGAGAGCGATTTAAAAAACTATCCTTTTCAGAAAACACATGTAGTATTTTATGTAGTAACCCTTAAATGCATTAAATGCAACTCATTGAGCTGATTGGTCGATTTGTCAGTCATATTGGTTCCTCAATGAACAGATGTCACAAAAAATATTTTCCTCGACCTGGTGATTCTCGCGATGCTTTTCCCGCGCACATGCGCAGATTCAGGATAAACGTCAGTCCTTTATAAATATGCATGGGAATATCTTGTTCTTTTCCCGATCAGTAATTTGTTAATACCAAATAATATTTCGTCGTATTTGCAAGAACGCTTCATTTTTGATAGCTTATCATACTTCAGAAATTTTTGTTCGGTTTCAGCTGTGCAAAAATACTGTTTAACACGGCATGTGATTATCACCCATGGTTTTGAAAAATATTATGAACTTAACGGATATAACAAATTACATTAATAACAAAGCAAAATTGTCCGTCCCTGGCGAAAACCATGTTTAGCTGCAGTAAAAAAACGAAAATAATAAACACGCTTATAACGAATTGACGCTTACAACGAAGTGATGTTCAATCCCTGTTTCATTAAATCATAATATAAACTTCATGGATATTACGAATTACGTGATTAAGAAAGGAAAATCGCCCGTTCTTGGTTATTCGTTATAAGTGTGTTTAACTACTGTAACTCACTTTTTATTCGCGAGATCTTTATTTTCGAGAATTACACGAGAAAATGCGTTTGCGAAAATTTACAAAGAGTCAATGACAATCTCGCGAAATTAAGGTGTCGCGAAAATTTAGTGATCTATGGTATACTTAATTTCTTCTACGTATAATGTTATAGCTCACATATTCTTCTAGAGAACTATTGGGCCAGGAAAGATGAAACTCATGTGGAAGCATCCTCAGGTAGTGTAATTTCAAGTATATTCAAATCTTGACCCCTGGACGTAAGGTAGGGCCACAATGGGGGATCAAAGTTTAACATAGGAATACATGGGAGAAAATCTTTAAAAACCTTCTTCTCAAGAACAGCAAAGCTATGATTAATCATAGTTATATGGAAGCATCTTCTGGTAGTGTAGATTCGAATTTATTCATATCAAGACCCCCGGGGGTAGCGTAGGGCCACAATGGGGGAATCAAAGTTCAACAAAGGAATACATTCTAAAAATCTTCTCAAGAACAGAAAAGCCATAGTCATATGAAAGCATCCACAGGTAGTATTAGATTCAAGTTTGTTCAAATCAAGATCCCTGGGATCCCTGGGAGTAGGATGGGGCCACAATGGGGGATCACATAGTTTTACATAGGAATGTATAGGGAAAACATTTAAAACCTTTTTCTCAAGAACAGAAAAGCCATGATTGGCCATATTTATATTGTAACATTCTTTGGTAGTGTATATTTTTTTTTCAAATTAAAATCCCGGGTGTAGGATGGGGCCATAATGGGGATCAAAGTTGAACATAGGAATACAAAGGAAAAATCTTTAAAAATCTTCTTCTCAAGAACAGCAAAGCCATAGTTTAAATGAAAGCATCCTCAGGTATTGTAGATTCAAGTTTGTTCAAATCAAGACCCCCGGGGATAGGATAGTGCCACAGTGGGGATCAAAGTTCAGCAAAGGAATACATGGGAATTTTTTTTTTAATCTTCTTTTCAGGAACAGCAAAGTCATAGTTATTTGAAACATCCTCAGTTAGTACAGATTCAAGTTTGTTCAAATCATGACTCCTGGAGCAAGTTAGGGGCCATAATGGGTGATCAAAGTTTTTAGAAGGATAACATAGAACATTCTTCACAAGAACAACAAAGCCAAGATTGATCAGCAATATAAAAGCATCAAAATAAGTATAGATTTAAGTTTGTTCTAATACAACACCCCACCCCACCCCCACCCACCCCCCTCCAAACACACTTTTATATTTAAACTTTTCAATATGGAACTGATTTTTGCTTTTACTTAGCTAGTTGTTTAGGTTAGCGATGTGGCCCCTGGGCCTCTTGTTGAAGATTTGGAGTCTCAATATATTTCTTACGATTTTTTAAATAATAAATATGCAAGAAATACTTCTCCCAGTAAATTACTACCAGGAACTTTATTTATTTTTTTTAATTTGCTTCAGTTAAAAATAATTAGTAAAAGTTAACGATAGTATGGCACTTTTTGTCAGGGAAATGCAAATGTATTGTGCTAATCTGTGTATGTGTTTTATATCCCATTCGAGATTTTCTTTTTTTTTTACTCTTGTAGGTCATAACCATAATTATACTGATTAAGGACGACGAAACTTAGACCTATACCGTAGATCACTAAATCTCTGCAACATTTCATTTTTTCGAAATATCAGTAGCTCTATTTGGTATTCATAAGCGAATGATTTATTTTTCTATATAGATTCGACTTCTGTTGTTTATATTACATTACAATACATATATACGCGAAAATAAAATTTTTGCAAGGCAAGGAATTCGCGTAATTACGCGAAAATAAATTTCTTACTGTTTAAAAGTGATTAACAGTACTTGGCACTCAGGACCATTTAGGTAAAGGTTTCCATACTGCCGACACTAAATGCAAAAATTAAACCTCGATTTTTAGGTTCTCCACCGAAATATCTTAACAATTCTAGTGCCGGGCAATTGTCGAAGGAACAGTCGCTTACTATACTGACATATTGCGGGGAATGATAGTTGCGGCGAATGATAGAAAGCAAGCCTCCCAATCATTGGTGTTTTAGTACTCTACAATTCTAATCATTATCAGGATTTGAGAAAATAAACATTCTTATTGAACTTTGGTTATTAAAGATTTAAAAAGAATTGTAAAATGCTATTTATTCTTTACAATTCAGAAAAAATACATGAAACATGCATTAGCATTTGCTGATTGCTTTACGTTAAAACATATATTCAAGCATATTTTTGCTTTTGTAGAGGCTTACCGGTATTATCATCTATGTTTGGAAAAGGAAGCGATGATTCATGGATATTGGGAAGTGCCTCCTGTTCCGGAAGTGAAACATCCATACTAGCTTGTTCATTTAGAACCGTTGAAGCCAGAAGCTGCTCTAATGGCGGACATGCAGGAGTCCTTTGTTTTTATTCAAGAAATGGTTGGTTTTTTGGAGCTTTTAGATTTAGAAGTTTCAGGATTCAAGAGTAGGCACCACTGCTACTGCTTTGTATTCTAATTTTGAAAAAATTCACAACTTGAAAAGGCTGTATAACTGCCTTGCAAACTACTGAGATTTTTTTTTATTTTGTAATCTTTCAAATTTGTTAAAAGCCAATAATTTAAATGAATCTAGTATAATCAGAAAGTTTATGCATAGTTTTTATATAAAAAAAAAATATATGAATACAACTGTCAGTATTCAAGCTCAAATGTTCATTTGAACGATACAAATCAGAAGCTGATGATGGCTTTAAACGAGACTGCTTATATTCTTCTTTCATGAACTTTTTTGTCAATAATTTCTCTCGTAATAGAAATGTTCGTACGTAGAGCCTCTCTTGCATATCGAATCCACTGTCAGCACCTTCTGAGACACGGGCCCTCGGTTTATAGGTCTCATCAGAAGGACCGTTCTCCACGTCCCACAGCGGGATTTGAACCTGCGACGTAAGGATCTAACTCCTTACTCCGCGACTCTAGAGCAGACCCTCTGCGAAACGCGGGTGACAATAACAACTTTAGAAAAATATCCAGCTTTTTTTAACACCGTGTGTCTATGGCTTCTGGGGAGAGTAGCCTACCAGAATCCTTGTCTAGTGAAGATGAGCAGCAACAAGCTTATTCTTACTCATGGATAATATTTTTAGTAAAATCTGCTGCATATGAATACAAAAAAGTCTGCTAATGATGGAGCGCAATTGCTACCTATGGAAAATCCAACAGATTGAGAAAGAGAATGAAATTTTAATTCATCATAATAATACGTTGTATTTGATGACAATATCCACTGGCAGAGATATTAGATCAATCGGTTTTTCAATACGATGTAAAAGCTGAATGGTGTATGAAAATTATTAAGCCCACCCCTATAGGGTTTGTGTAAAAATGGGGACAGCGCGTGAATTGCTCAGCTCATGCAAGCTCTGATTGCCGAGTTAATGAATAATGACTATTCTTTTTCATATGTAAAGTATTGTTTGTAATGCAATATATGTTTTAGTGGGTATTTAACCCCTCCCCCCAACTGCCAGTATTGAGAATTATTAATCTTTAAAATCCATTAAAATTGACATTGGAAAATCCAGCCTCCAAAAAATTGCATAGATAATTTCAATTAGAAATTCACGCATCTTTCTAAAATCAACCGCGCAGAATACTTTGTGTGTGTGCAATCAGAATGATTTAAAACAAAAAATAATTTTAAAAATGACCAATGACAGCATGAGTAAATTTACATGTCAAATTTTATTGACAGAAATCTGCTTCTATTTCCATGCTTTTTTTTACAGATATCCGAATTTGGTCTTTCTTAATTTCACATTCAATTTAAAAGAAATAATTTGTGACACCAATAGTACAAGTTCCTACATAAAGTAAATAAAATTTAATGAGCACTTGGATTTTCAGAGTCGGTTAGAATTGTAAATGGTACCTCAAACAAAGAAGGTCGAGTAGAAATTTTAATTGGTGGGCAGTGGCGAAGTATATGTGATGGAAGTTGGAACAAGTTTGACGCTAACGTTACTTGTAGAAGCATGGGATATTCAGGGTAAGTTCAACTATATTATTATATGATTGAATAATTTCAATCTCTCTGATTGGCTTAGATTCAACTATGTTGGAAAAATACTACGTTGTATCGACCTGCACGTGACGTTCCAGGTCAATACAAGGATTTATTTCCTCTACATTGATCTAAAAATAGATAAGGAAATTCCAAATGATACAAATTGTTTTGGAAAGCTATTTAAACGACTATGATTTTTTTTTCATGTGAACAAAACATAAGCGAATATATATTTTAGGGTGAGGGTGGTACGTGGGAATGCAGGGATCCCCCTCCAACACTTTTACTGAAACCATTTTTTTTTTTACTTTTTGGCAGTCGGTTTTCCCTGATAATACTCCTTCTTTTCAAAATGTATCCTATAAAAAACACAGACATTATATTTTTATTCACGGCAACTAAAATTGATTAAAAGAAAACATTTCAAATTGATACGACTGGTAAGGTTTATTCGCATTTTAATTCTGCTTCTCTCTTGTATTTGGCTAGGACTTAATAAAATCCAAACAAGTAATTAGCTGTATCATTTTACCAGTGAATCATATAATAAATCAATTATTGATGTTTTTCGGTCGATACAATGATTTAGCCAACTTCGAAGTACAATATTCACCTCGCCCTTTGGGCTCGGTGAATATTGTACTCCTCAGATGGCTAAATCATTGTATTGACCTAAAAAAAACAACAATATTGTATAATATTATCAATTCATTGTTTGTTACACACTATAAAATAAATTATTCATGCATTGTAGAGGATTTCCAGTTTTATCCTCTTTCTTTGGGGAGAGCAATAGTGAGGTATGGCTGAGTAATATTGATTGTAAGGGAGATGAGAATTCTTTGCTCAACTGCCGGCAGTTATCTTTAATATCTACGAGATGTAATTCTTATGGAAAAAATGCAGGAGTCGTTTGCTACAATTCATTAAATGGTAAGAAATAATATAGTTAGCTTAAATTCAGTTTGTTTATTTAAAATTTCATGGAGTTACTACTTTTTTCCTTTAGAGAGAGAGAGAGAGAGAGAGAGAGAGAGATAATGTGCTTAATAATAAACTGGCGAAATACTGTTTTTAGAATCAGTGAAAATACAAAACAGAACTTCGACAGAAGATGTAATTGTGACAAACCCACAAGTACTTGTACGTGGCAGTTGGATAGGATTGTGTAAAGACAAATGGGATGACAGAGAAGCAAAAATCATCTGCAGAAGTCTTGGTTACGTAGGGTAGGTTTCTTACTTTCTCTTTCCATGGGTCTTCCATTCTATTCCTCAGAGCAGAAATAGTACTCAAAACAAAAAGTGAAATTGCCTGTAGCACTAATAATCTTGTGTACAATGAAGAAATAATAATTATTCATGTACAGATTTTAGTATCATGGAATTTATTGCAAACAAACAGTATTCAAGAAATCCATTTACTGCATTTAAACAATACAAATCAGGAGCAAACATAAACGTCTAGAATATCAGCGGGTGAAATTGAAGAGTGAGTATCCTTGACAATCAATCACAACCCCCGTTGGCTTCTTGTGATGATGAAAAAAAAAATAACGTGAAAATTCTTCGACAATGAAAACAACAGTCGGCATTTGACTTGATGATCATTGTATCAATCACACAACTTACAAAATGATGAATTTAAACGAGCCTGTTTATATTCTTGTTTCATGAATTTGCTTGTCTTGTTTTCATGAATTGTTCGTTTGTAGGGCATTTCTTGCGTATCGAATTTACTGATATAAATCCAATATGCAGGTGATAAGGATATAATGATGTATAATAAGGGAAGTTAGCTAAATGTCTTGTTGAAGACCACAGCAAGTGCTTTCTTCTTCTCCTGTATAGTTAAGATTTCGAATAAATTCTGCTTTATATCAGTACAATAGTTGGTCTGATAATAATGGCAGGACTTTGGTACCCATGAGAATTCCAACAGATTCTTGGAATGTCTGATCTCCAACGACATAAATATATCAGTTTGGATATAAATTAACACACCTTAAGGTTCTCAGTGATTAATATTCACAGACTCAAACCTCAAAAGATTTTATTTTATGCATTTCCGTGGCTTTTTTAAGTCAAATGCAGACTATTTGCAATTTAGTGCTAAGTGCAGTTAGAGGAACTGGAATAAAGAAGATGATGTCAAATTTAGAGAAGCATACGAAAGACAACACTCTATAAATATTCGTTGGAAACAATTTGTCTAACTATCTTTTCAGTGTTCGTATATTATTTAATCCTTCTGTCTGTCTTTCCATTGCACTTTGTGTTTAGCTCAATTCAAAGCTCAGTTACAAAGATGCAATAAAAAATACTTTATCAAGCTTCCTATGCTGATTGATATTGATAAGGTTTTCAACTGCATCATCATTTTTTACCTTGACCTTTCTTGTGACCTTGACTTCACCTTTCTTAAATAATTGGGGTTAATCCAAGTTTTAAAGAAACAATCCAGGTTATTGTAATTAAATTCCATACGCTGATGCATACTGATATTAGCTTTTCAACTGCATCAACATTTTTTGACCTAGACCTTTCCTTTGACCTTGATCCTACTCTTCTTAATTTAGTGTTTAGCCCAGTTTTAAAGAAACCATTCAAGCGAGTGTAATCAATAAAATTTCGTATGTTGATACATGCTGATCTTATTAAGTTAACTGCATCAACAGTTTACCTTGACTTTTCCTTTAAGACTGACCTTACATAAATAAGTGTATAGCCGATTTTCAAAATATGTCATTTAAGGTAGTGTAATAAAACGTCATATGTTGATACATACGAGGGTTGTCCAAAGTTCGTGGACAATGACGTTTTTGAGAAAATAAATGGTTCTATACAAATTTATCGTATATCAAAATATTTCTTATGAAAAAACAAGTCAGAATGATTTAATTTCTATTGACGGAACATTATATTTTTGTAAAATTCGGGGTCTTTAAAGATCGCAGATTGTGTGCACGGACCAAGGTTAAAATGACATAAACTCTGATATAAAGTGTTCTGATTAAAATGATTATTTTCTATATAAAACAAGTCAAAAATTGATAAAAAAAATTTTATGTAACACAAATAGAGACGCTATAGTCATTTTATGTTATCTTAATTATCGCTTACTAAGTAGACAGACAAATGCTAAACAAAACTAACAAAAAAGTGTCCAAACTCAACAAAAAAGCGACGTCGGCCGTCCGCACGGGTCGACGTCCGATCAAAAAATAAGTTTTAATACGGTAGAAACGACGTAAGAGACAAAATATTTGTTTAAACAACTCTAAATTATTGAAATATATTTAGTGTTTAAATTTGAGATTGGTATATACGATTTTTGAACGAAGTGTACAAATTCAAAGACACTACAAGAAATTAAAAACACATGTTATTTACTCGGAGAAGCAGAGCAAACACGGACTTCAAAAACATCAGAGGTGGGATCAGGTGCCATGGAAGAGCGAGCATCCCCTGCTGACCGGACACATTACACACTGATACGTATTAGTGAGAGCTATTCAACAATACCCACCATGTACTTTTTCTATGACCATGACCTCTTTTCTCCTTAAATTTGGATTTTGATTAGTTTTCAAGAAACTATTTAAGATGTTTCTATGTAAGAAGGCATTTATATATAAATTGGTAAGAATTTATCATCTATGTACAATTTATTAGATTTCAATATCAATTTTAAGGAAACTGTTCAAGATATTCTCATCTGACATCATACAGTTAAACAAATGTTCATGTTGCATTAGTTATGTACACTCGGCGTGGTATTCATGTCCTATGGACATATTTCTAGTGTTTTTTCAAATAAGTAATTTTAATTAAATGATTCATATAACTCATCCAACGTTATTAAGATTGACCTGAGTTTTCTTCAAAGTTCTTTTATGTTGATTTTATTTTGTAGTTATGGTGGCTTGTTATACAGTATGCAAGACAGAAATTCATACAACGAACTCTATGTTAAAGATTTTCGCTGCATTGGAACTGAACAGTCGCTAGCTGAATGTTCATTTGGAATCATAGGTTCGGACGTTTGTAGTATTAATGGTGAAGTGGGAGTGCGGTGCCATAACGATGTTAGAAGTAAGAATTATTCATTTGGTCTTATTCAGTTTTTTAATTTGCATATTTAATGTTTTGGAGAAATTATGTATTTTTGTATGATAAATGTTGTAATTTTATGTCTATTATGTACTAAACCGAAATTATTAATGACTAGTCAAAGAAATCTCTTTTGGGAAATTTATTTTCAACAATATAATTTATTTTCAAAGATTTACTAATAAGATTAGAGCTAAAACAATTTCATAGGTAGTCTTATCAAAAGAGATTAAAAGATTGAAAAAGAAATGGACTGAATTATGAAAATTGAAACCTAGAAAAAGATTAAATGAGAATTATGTTAACAATATTTCTCGAAAAAGTAGGCATTGAAATAAATTAAGAAGCTTAATCTTGTGATTATTAAGATTAGGACTAAGACAAAATTAATTAATGAAGTACGAAAACCAAAATGTTATATTTGAATTGTTTGCTAATGTGTTTTGATTTGGAAAAAAGCCTCAAAATAAAGCATTAAAAAAATGTTATATCTGAAATCTGTTTGTTTTTGTTTGTATATATGTGTTTCCTTTTTTCAATTCCAGTTCATATTTAAGTATGCAATATGTTACATTAAATTATACTTAAGTATGTTTTCTTAGACTATACTAGACTTGTTAATGGATCATCAAACAAAGAAGGGCGTGTAGAGGTATTTGTAAATGGGAAATGGGGCACTGTTTGTGACGATTTATGGGGAAATGAAGATGCAACTGTGGTGTGCAGAAGCCTTGGATATTTAGGGTACGTAATATATTTTTAAAAAATATAAATAGCTTTATTATATGATTGAATAATTTCATCTCTCTGATTGGCTGAGATCCAACTATGTTAGAAAAATACTACGTTGTATTGACCTGCACGTGATGTTCCAGGTCAATACAAGGATTTATTTCCTCTACATTGATCTAAAAATAGATAGGGAAATTCCAAATTGATACAAATTGTTTTGGAAAGCTATTTAAACGACTATGATTTTTTTTCATGTTAACAAAACATAAGCGAATATATATTTTAGGGTGAGGGTGGTAAGAGGGGATGCAGGGATCCCCCTTCAACACTTTTACTGAAACCTTTTTTTTTTTTTTACTTTTTGGCAATCGGTTTTCCCTGATAATACTCCTTCTTTTCAAATTTGTATCCTATAAAAAAACACTGATATTATATATTTTTTTCATGGCAACTAAAATTGATTAAAAACAAACATTTCAAATTGATACGACTGGTAAGGTTTATTCGCATTTTAATTCTGCTTCTCTCTTGTATTTGGCTAGGACTTAAATAAAATTCAAACAAGTAATTAGCTGTATCATTTTATCAGTGAATCATATAATAAATCAATTATTGGTGTTTTTCGGTCAATACAGTGATTTAGCCAACTTCGAAGTACAATATTCACTTTGCCCTTCGGGCTCGGTGAATATTGTACTCCTCAGATGGCTAAATCATTGTATTGACCTCAAAAAACAGCAATAATTGTATATTATTATATGATTGAATAATTTCATCTCTCTGATTGGCTGAGATCCAACTATGTTAGAAAAATACTACGTTGTATTGACCTGCACGTGATGTTCCACGTCAATACAAGGATTTATTTCCTCTACATTGATCTAAAAATAGATAGGGAAATTCCAAATTGATACAAATTGTTTTGGAAAGCTATTTAAACGACTATGATTTTTTTTCATGTTAACAAAACATAAGCGAATATATATTTTAGGGTGAGGGTGGTAAGAGGGGATGCAGGGATCCCCCTCCAACACTTTTACTGAAACCATTTTTTGTTACTTTTTGGCAATCGGTTTTCCCTGATAATACTCCTTCTTTTCAAAATGTATCCTATAAAAAAACACTGATATTATATATTTTTTCATGGCAACTAAAATTGATTAAAAACAAACATTTCAAATTGATACGACTGGTAAGGTTTATTCGCATTTTAATTCTGCTTCTCTCTTGTATTTGGCTAGGACTTAATAAAATTCAAACAAGTAATTAGCTGTATCATTTTATCCGTGAATCATATAATAAATCAATTATTGGTGTTTTTAGGTCAATGCAATGATTTAGCCAATCTTCGAAGTACAATATTCACTTCGCCCTTCGGGCTCGGTGAATATTGTACTCCTCAGATGGCTAAATCATTGTATTGACCTCAAAAAACAGCAATAATTGTATATTATTATATGATTGAATAATTTCATCTCTCTGATTGGCTGAGATCCAACTATGTTAGAAAAATACTACGTTGTATTGACCTGCACGTGATGTTCCAGGTCAATACAAGGATTTATTTCCTCTACATTGATCTAAAAATAGATAGGGAAATTCCAAATTGATACAAATTGTTTTGGAAAGCTATTTAAACGACTATGATTTTTTTTTCATGTTAACAAAACATAAGCGAATATATATTTTAGGGTGAGGATGGTAAGAGTGGGTGCAGGGATCCCCCTCCAACACTTTTACTGAAACCATTTTTTTTTTACTTTTTGGCAATCGGTTTTCCCTGATAATACTCCTTCTTTTCAAAATGTATCCTATAAAAAAACACTGATATTATATTTTTTTTTCATGGCAACTAAAATTGATTAAAAACAAACATTTCAAATTGATACGACTGGTAAGGTTTATTCGCATTTTAATTCTGCTTCTCTCTTGTATTTGGCTAGGACTTAATAAAATTCAAACAAGTAATTAGCTGTATCATTTTATCCGTGAATCATATAATAAATCAATTATTGGTGTTTTTCGGTCAATGCAATGATTTAGCCAACTTCGAAGTACAATATTCACTTCGCCCTTCGGGCTCGGTGAATATTGTACTCCTCAGATGGCTAAATCATTGTATTGACCTCAAAAAACAGCAATAATTGTATATTAATATTCAAAACAGGACACAAGTTTTATCACTGAAAAGAATGAATATTTTTTTATTTACCAGAATCGCAACTGCTCACCATTCAGCGTATTTTGGAGAAGGTCAGGGGTCAACTTGGTTGGATGATGTTAAGTGCAAAGGTACAGAAGCTTCCATCTTTGATTGTGAGCACATTGGCTATGGAGTAGAAAACTGTAATCACCGTGAAGATGCTGGTGTTACATGTACGTAGGTCCTTGATAGTTAAATGGATGTCTTCCAATAGACAATGAACATGTATCTCGTATTTTTGTTTGGATGTGAATTTTATTCAATGAGTTATGGATTTTCAAACTTAAAATATAATTTGTATCACGTTTTATATTTGATAATATATATAAAGATTTAACCGCAATTTTTAATATTTTCCTCTGCTTTAGAGAGGCATGTTCACACGTTTTTATGCTCCCGGATCCATAGATCCGGGGCGTATATTTTTCTTTTGTCCTGTTTGTTTGTCAGTTTGTCCGTCTGTTGTCAACTTTAACCTTCGCCATAACTGTTGAACTACGAGAGATAGAAACTTCATATTTAGTATGCGTACTCAACTAATTAAACTCTTTCAAATAACACCAAGGTCAATGATCTTGTGACCTTGACTGTGACGTATATGCTAAAATAGCTTTTTTAGAACTTTTACCATCGTTTTTGAACCATTGGAGATAGAGGCTTCATATTGTGTATGCATACTCCACTAATTACTTGTTTTTTTAAATGACACCAAGGGCAATGACCTTGTGACCTTGATTGTTACCTCTATGCTAAAAATAGCTTTTTAGAACTTTGTTGCCGCCGGGCGTGTAGTGTTTTACAAATGCATCTTGTTTATTCTTATGTTTAATGTTTTCATTTTTACTTGTAAAATTGCTTCTGTTAAAGTACATAAACTCACATGAGAAAATTTTGGATCTCCCATGATATGGTTTGTGGTTGGATATGCTTTTGAATCAACGAGTTGTGTATTCTTTTTATCCATGAACCTTAACGAGGGGATAAAACACAGAAAATAATCACATCCATAAATCATTGGAGATTCTTATTATCTCATGTTTTATAAATCACTTTCAATGTTTTACACTGTTTTTGTAGCAATTCACTATTTTACTTCATCACTCTGACGTCATAGCTGTGGAATATTATATATATATATCACATGGCTTCGAAGCTAACATACCAGAATATTTTTCCCAGGGTGACAGGAAAGCCCTGGAATGTTATGTCACCAGATACTGAAGATTAAGTTGAAAAAAATAATCCAAAATGCCATCTTGACGTTAACGAGGTTCGCTCCACAGCTTTTGAGCAGATTTTTGCCTTGGCCTCTATTTTAAGAGTTCTGCCTAATATAAAAATTCTTTTTATATAATTTGGATTCTATAATGTTGATTAAACTATATTCAATTAGAAGTTTATTGTTAAATTCCAAAACATTTAGTGAGGATCTATATTTTATGAAGGAAAGTTTTTTTTTTTTTAAGAAAACAAGCAATTCTTCATCTTTTGACGTTTTCAGCATTGTTAAATTTGGATTCTTTTTTTTCACATGCAGGCTGCACACAGAGTAATTTTGTGCAGTCTAAAATATAAAAGTTAATATCACAGATCCCCACTTTTTATTTCATTTCTGATTGATTTTATGTTGTTTAACGTCCCTCTCGAGAATTTTTCACTCATATGGAGACGCCACCACTTGCTGGTTGAGGGCTACAAATTTTGTCCTATGCTCGGCACTAAGGGCCTTTGAGCAGTGAAGGATCTTTTTAATGCCAGCACCTACTGCGACACGGGACCTCGGTTTATACAGTCTCATCCGAAGGACTGGTCTCCACGTCCCACAGTGGGATTCGAACCTGCGACGTAAGGATTGACTCCTTACTTTGCGACTCTAGAGCAGACGCTCTAACCACTGCGGGCGACCTATTTCATTTCTGAATATAAAAGATAATTTTAACCACTCGGCTTAAAATCAGAAGAATGACATTACTTTCAAATGATTATATTTTTTTTATAAATTTTTAAATCCAGAAAATTTACATTTTTTTAGTGTAGAAAGGTCAAATAATTGACTATGCGAATTAATTTAAAGCTAGGACAATTCCCAGATGAGCTTGGAATTTCAGTAAGGTGTGGTATTCTCTCGTCTGAAATTAACACAGCTTTCAGTCAGCCAACCACTTTAAGAATCACACTCTTTTGTTTACGTTTGCTTAGCAACCGGCGTCATAAAATCTCGAACCCGATCTAAAATGCGTAACGTAAAAACACTTGAACATGATCGCAAGAGTGACATTACTGCTTCCGTCGGGTGACATAACTGTTTCCGGCGTGTGATATAACTGTTTCCGTTGTGATTCAGTATTTTTCAGGGTTTATAGTGAAACATTACATTTGCGACATAAAGGAAAACTTATTTAATGTTATATCAAAATGTACATGTATCCAATGAGTGATATGTATACACGGGATAAAAGGGAAAATATGGGATAAAATAACATATGTCATAACCTTGCACTAACTGTCTGCATTTAAGGTCAAGATCTAGTAAATGAAAGATGCCTATAAATCTATCCAATTTTAAAAATAAATTCCTTTTATGATGAATTATAACTTTATCTTGGCCAAATAAGTGTTTCGGTGCATAATTTGTAGGTAAACCAGATGGAAAAACATGTTTTAAACTGTCATTTTTAATGAAAAATTTAAAAAAAAATAGTCATGAATATGGGAGTTTTTTTCATATTCGACAAAGAAAATGTATCCATATTGCCCACAGTCTCTCAGAAAACGGTAATTTGTATGTTCAGAGTCTCTTCTTTAAAATAATATCAAATTCAATATAGGTATCGGGATTACTTTTTATTTGATTTCAAATTGAATGCCATGAAAATACATTATTTTCTACATTATTCTGCTGAAGCCATAAAGTACGAGAAAAAGAAAGTTGAAATTGATTATGACCAACAATTTAACTTGTGTAAAGTCATTTAGGTCAAGATCCATTCGGCAAACCTCGACTGATTCCGTGGAGTACCTCAAACAGATGAGGTACGAATCGGTCGAGGTGTGCCGAGTGGGTCAAGATCTAGTTAGCCTGGTCCCCTCTCTCACTCTTGCTAGTGATGTGGAGTATACGAAGCATAACGTGGACAGGGAACCAGTCTAAGATTTAGTTGGCATAGATATATACAGTAACTTGATCCGAAGGGTCGTATCACGTCGAGTTGACAGGCGCGGATCATCAGATCAAACGAGACGCGAAGCATAATGTCAACGAGACGTAATACGGCTCTTCGGATCAAGTTACTGTTAAAATGATAAATTTGTTATATACCCCCTTATAACTAGCTAAATATAGCAAAATTAAACCTTAGAGACCAATTGTATAATATTTATTCATAAAACAAAGCATAAAAACAAGGAACTTTTTAACACGCAAGAAAAATAACATGTTTCTGCGTAGTACGTCATCAGTTTTAGTGAGTGGTGATATGGATTCAGAAAACCACAGTGTGGTGATCCGGAAAGTCGGATCACGACGTCACGTGATTGTGTTAAATCAACAGTAAAATTAAGTGATACACGTTAGGTATATAATAAATGTCTTTACACTTTGCTTTGTGCCAGATCCATTATGACGTCATAATTACTTTCAAGTTTCTTTTCCTGTACTTTACGGCTATATTAGATTTACGAGGGTTGTTCGAACATTCGTGGATAGGCGCCATAAAATTAAAACCGCTACATATACATTGATGAATTTTTCAACGTTTAATTGGCATAATCTTTTTTATTTAATTCATAAACTATACATCGTTATTTTATATTTTAATCAAATGTTGATGTTTTTGTAAACAATTATTGTATGTCCAGACGGCGAAGTCTAGAAGTTTACGTTTTTCTACCTAATTGTGACTGAGAAAAAAACTTTTTGTGTGAGCATTTGTCATCCGAAAATCCCAATAATTCATTCATGTAGAATGACACAAATGTTCCGTAAAATTTGAAATTTTTACTCAATTCTGTAAGTTCTTTGAAATGTTATCGTAAATTTTATATTAAATTCCCAAACAATTAAGGAGTTGTAATAACGTCAGAAAGGGGGTGAATTTTATATTTAATTTCCAAAAAATTAAGGAGTTGTAATAACGTCAGAAAGGGGGTGGATTTCTTTTTCCAATATTCTATAAAGATTCACCCCTGGAAAAATTGGCATATATCTAGGAGATATAGGTTACTGAAAAATAAAATGCATTCAGAGTACTTGTTTTTAAATGCCGAAAAAGATTAGACAGACAAGAGACGTAAAAGTTAATGTCGATTTGTAGTAAGGGTGTTCAAAGTTTGTCACGTGAAAAAGTGAAGTTGATCATGTGTGGTAGATGTTGACGTCCGACAAGCAAATATGCTGATCAAGTGAGGTTCTTTCACCATGTATAGATCTATTCACAATATCATATGCATTTAAAGCAGCTGTTCATGACATTATACAATCAAATAAACAAGATCGGTTTAAATCTTTGATTAACTCCAAGGAATCTCATCAAGATAAGTGTATGAGGTAGGAGAAACAATGACGTCATGAAACTAAATGATGATAGCGTCGTTGATCATATGATGTCTTTTTTTCATTTTAGGATAATTTGATAAATATTCAAGGTGTCAAGCTAAAATTTTCAACATTTCTTTAGCTTTTGTTGTTTGATGTTCCTTAAAATTTTGTTAGCATAGACTACATTGTATACATTTTATCGCATCAGTCCACGAAATTTTCGAACAACCTTCGTATGTAGAAAATAGCGTATTTTCATGGAATTCAATTTGAAACCACATGAAAAGTAATCCCGATACCTATATTAAATCTAACATCATTTTAAAGAAAAGGTCTAGAGCATACACATTACCGTTTTGTCAAAGAATGAAGGCAATTTGGGTATATTTTCTTTGTCTAATGTAGAAAGAAAACTCCCTTATTCATGACTGGTTTTCTTAATTTTTCATTGAAAATGAATTTAAAATACAGTTTTTTCACCTTGTTTACCAACAAATTATGCACCTTATTTGACCAAGCTAAAGTTATGAAGCATCATTAAAGGAATTTATTTCTTAAAATTTGATATTTCTGTAGGCACCTTTCATTTTCTAGATCTTGACCTTAATAACATCGACAAAGTATTGTTACTGTGTATTTTTTTTATTGTTAATGTTTTAATTAGGTATACTCAATGGTAATTTTGTTAGATTTTCTTACGATATTTAACTAGTTTAAGGTTTTAAAGGTTTTGATACATGTTTTCCAACTTTATGTACATTAAAGATATGTATGCCGTGTTAAACAGTATTATTGCATAGCGGAAACCAAACAAAAATTTCTGAAGTATGATAAGCTATCAAAAATGAAGCATTCTCGCAAGTTCGACGAAATATTATTCGGTATTAACAAAGTACTGGTCGGGAAAAGAACACGATATTCTCATGCATATTTATAAAGGACTGACGTTTATGTTGGATCTGCGCATGTGAGTGGGAAAAGCATCACGAGAATCATCAGGTCGAGGAAACTATTTTTTGTGACGTCTGTTCAGCGAGGAACCAATAAGACTGACAAATCGACCAATCAGCTCAATGAGTTGCATTTATTGCATTTATGGGTTACTACTCAGTACATAAATACTGCAGTACTACATGTGTTTTTCGAACAGGCTAGTTTTTTAAATCGCTCTCGGAAAGACGTGGTGCATTTTCCCAAGCATTTACACGTTTAATGCATTATGTACATTATCATCTACTAATCCCATGATAACATTTGCATACAAATTAACAATGATAAAAATAAGAGTTTTCCCCACTCTATTGTACAGGTCCGTTTGTTTACAGTTTCCCCGTGCTGTACTGACAGTGCAAAGACAATTTCACGTGACTATATATTCCTCGGTACAAAATGCAACTAACTCTGAGGTGTGCTCACGTACTGACAATGTTTATAATGTGTACAACTTCGAAACATACAGTATGCTACTCAATTCACGTTCTACGATCAATGCACATGAGAATTAATATAGAGGTAATTTTCAATTAAACCGTGAAATTAGTAACTATTCTTCCTATTTTTCTAAAACAGGTTTCAAAAAAAATGTAAATTGGCTTTCCAGCCGTCATTTGAAATCGCATCGCACATTTCCCTAACCCACGTGTTTGTAGTAAAAACGTAGTAGACCATCATGCTTTTCGGCTCATTCACGAGATTGGACCATTGTTTGCTGTGAGCATGCGAGACCACGTGTTCATGAATATTTCAACAAGAGGCGGTTTTATATCCGACTCGGAGAGAAAATAATTTTTACAAAATAATATTTCATAACTTTTAAAAGTGATGGAGTGGAATTGTCTTAATTGCAGAAATTACATAACTTATGTAACTTGATGAGACACCACCTATATTTATTTCTTTAGCAATAAAACACTAATACGGCATATATATCTTTAAGTATTGATAAATAATTTAGTTCTTGGAAGTGCATTTTTGTCGGATGGACTGATTGATTATGTGATATATTAAAAATATAACAGCAATTAAACTGAATACTTATATACACGTGTAGTTAAATTTGTTACATTTATAATCAAGACTTACACTCCAAAATCGTATCTTTACAAAAACATACGTGTAGTTATTTACATTATGTGACACAAAAAACAGACAAAATTCATGTTAACAAGGGAATGATATCAACTAGATAGAAAGGTTTACTAATAAATGTTGAATTTATGATATAATGTATTAATAAAGATAATTACGAAGGAACCTGTGTCCACTTTTGTGTTGCCCAAATACAATGTAAAAGTTAACATTTTAACAATATTTTAACAATATGCAATTGACTGGGTATGAAGGCAACACATAAATTCTTTGACCTGAAAGAGTGTCCATTATTTAAAATGACAAGTTTTTTTCACTATCAGATATACTAGTATATACGTACTATTATGTATAAAACAAAATGTGATAAATATAAATGTAAACCTTTAAGCAGATTTACCCAGGTTTAACCAAAATCAAATAAGTAATATTTAACTTTTAATTATCAATAAAAATTGTACAATAAAAAAAATAGGGGGAAAAAATAATCATAAAATCGTTATATTAGAGATATTATTCATCAGACAAAGTATATTTTTTTTCCATTGACGCCATTTTACAAAAAAAAAAAATACAGTGACTCTTGCAATTTCTATTTCCGTGTTGCCGATATAGAACGAGGACTAATTACTTAATCAGTTTCAATGACTATCCCTCAAGGAAGCTTTAAACACTGCACGCTAAAGAGTTGTAGGTGTTGGGTAGTTTCTGCTATTAGAATGATTAATCACAAAACATTTGTTGGATTAAAATATGCTGAACATTATATTAGACAAAGAATAAGTAATTGAATTCATTTTTCTATTGATTGTCCAAATGTTAGTAAACAACAGTGATTTCTGTTCATAAATGTCTTTGAACAGTTACCCTATGTTGAAAATGAACTAAATAATCTTAATATGCAGCCCCCATATGATAAATTTGTCTCTTGGTAAAAAAAAAACTTCTTGATAGTATTTAGAGCTTCATTAATTAATGGGTATTTAATACCCATAGTTAGAATCAAAATAATGCGTACAGACGGCGGCGTTCCGATTTATTTTCCTTTACCGAGAATTTACAAGACTGAGTTTAATGGAGGTCCATCGTATTTAAAATATGTTTCGCCTCTTCTGATTCACCCATGACGCAACTACTGTTGGTGGTTTTCAAGGGCGTGTCAGAGGACGCGAAACAAGTTCGTGTATTGCTACAAATTTCTACAAAAACATTATACATTTATTGGCTGAAATCGAGGGAAACATACCGAAGGCAGACAGTTTGGTTCGAGGGTCTACAAAACGCATTTTGCCAGAGAACATAGTCACGAAATGTTTTGTTATACCTTTCATTTTACAAGTAATAGCTTTTCAAAAAAGCTTGCCTGACTAATGCAATCAATATCTATTGAACCTATAATCATGATAAGTTATATATATAAACGTTTACATTGGGGTGAGGGGTAATTATTTCATTAGAGTAAATTATGAAGACGTCGAACAACATCATGCATTAATTTAAAGTTGCTTGCTACTTATGAAAGCAATGGAAAGCCTCGGTTTTGAAAGTGGGGGAGGGGGGGGGGGGGGGGGAAGGACAGCTAGAGAATTTTTTTTCACTCATCTGCAAGAAAAGGAATATGCCCAAAGTTGAAAATCCTATTTCGGGGGGGGGGGGGAGGGAGGGGGGGGGGGTAGTGACCAACTTTTTTTTCAGTGTCAAGTTCTTTCTGTACCAATTTTTTTAGAATTAAATACTGCATTTCCCTTAATAAATTTCCTGTTACATACAGGGGGATCCAACCTTTCAATCAACATTTCCTACATATAGTAAAAGTAAGGTTGGGAAAAAAGGGAGGAGTCAGCCCCCCTCCCCTGTTGCTACGTGTCTGATGGAAATGGTGAGATGAAAACAGTGAGATTTTATTTAAAAGGTATATTTTGTATGTTTTAAAAATTGGTTTTGATCTGTTTTTCGTTTGTTGTATAAGGACGCCTGTGGAGTGTTACAAATACTTGGAACTCAGGACCAATGAGCAGTTTCATGTAATCTTTTTCGTGCTAACACCTACTGCGACTCGGGACTTGGTTTTAAACGGTCTCATCCTAAGGACCGATCTTCACGTCCTGCAGTTGGTTCGAACACGCGACGTAAAGCTCAGCTCCTCATTCCGCAACTCTATAAATAGTTTCAGAAGATGTAGTAATTAAATAAGGGAAATGAACAAATGAATATTAATTTCAAAATCAAAATTTAGAATTAGATTCAACTGCATAGACTACCAGGAAGACAGCTGAGAATATGATAACTACAAGAAATAAATGAATCGTTATGATTAACATGCATTGGGTATGCCAGAGCATCAACGATTGTTGGAAACAGCCCGTTATGCATAAATGACTCAACGAATCCTTATATTCCTCAATCCTGGAATAGGAGGGACACTTTTCCTAAGTCTATTTTCTGTGTTTCATAGGAGAAAGAATTTTATCTCTGAAAACTGGGGGGGGGGAGGGGGGGGGCTGTGAGTCCGGGCGAGATATGATCATAAATATTATGTTTATTTGGCCAGTTTCCTCTTAAGAACTCTTTTTCCGTTTCGTTTTATACTTTAATTTAATTAACTTCTAACTTCTTTTTCCCCAAAGTTCGAAATTCCGATAAAAAGAACAGACTTGAAGTTTTCATTTCCATTCATCCAGGAAAAGGGCGCGAAGATATACACGTGACATTAGGCGCAAAATGATTGTGACACCCCTTACCTAGAAGACAAATGGACTCATCCAATAGTACAGAAACGCAGAAAAAAGGTCAAACGGACATGTCCGTATATGAAATCGCATGAAATAAACAGCTGCATGCAAAAAAACTAAAGGAAATAAACACATCAATATATTGGTTCAGTAAGACGGTTATTTTTTTCTGCTTAATGTTTTGTTGAAACGGAGGTAACAAATTCCAGTGATAATCAGCATGCACAAAATTTTGCTGGCTAACTGTGACCTCTTCTCTTCGCACCTCGGAAATATCAATCCTTATACAGCCTGACGCCGTGACGTTAGGCAATTATTTATTTATTTTTTTTTTTTAATACATGTATTTTGTACTGCCTTCCTTTGTGTAAACTCACCCCCGCAACTGTTGAACAGCAACGAATGAAAATGAGATTAAGCTTCGCCCATTCTTTGACGTAAGCGGTCCAACATCTCATCGACCAGTCCAACACCTCACTCAGCGGCCAAACATCGATTTTTTTATGCCCGCTCAGCAAAAGTTAGATATGTAAGATTTTTTTCGTATAGATTTGTGACAGAAATAAGGACTTCGTAGAGCATCTAAGTCTATAATGTTTTTAGGAGACATTGTTGTGGGACCCAAGCTGTAGATTTAGGAAAAGTAAAAATCACCAAAAATTAACTATATTAAAATTTCCCTTTGCCCTTTGTTTCAAATTTAAAACTTATAGAATAATTACTTTAAACAAAATTTTTGCGGAACATACACTGAACCAAACTTTTAAGTGTCCACCTAACATTTTTTAAGTTTTAAAGAACAAATGCATACAATGAATAATAACTTATCAGACATTTAAGCAAAGTGTCAAGGAAATGGTGTACACTCAAAATGAAAAATCACACAAAATAATCTTTATGGAGAAAGACCACCACTCGCTTAAACTACTGAAAGATATCCTTTACTGTTGGATACCATGTGCCCCTGAATAGGAGATTGACCCATCTGCTGTCACACCTACTTCATAAATCTTTCCAAACCGTTGAAATTGTGTGGAGGGGGAGGGGGTGATATTCCTCATAAAAATCCCAATTTTTTTCAACGGGATTCAGATCCGGGGTTTTGACAGTGCATCGTCACACAGAGGCATTTTGGTCAATATCCATTGGCTTTAAGCACGTAAGTGCACCACTTTAAGGATGATTCAGAAGTATATAGAGATAACGAACAGTATTCAATATCAAAGTCCATAAAACAATACAAAATAGGAGCAGAGCAAACACAGACCTCCAGAAACATCAGAGGTGGGATCAGGTGCCATGGAGAGTGAGCATCCCCTGCTGACCCGTCACACGTGCCGTGTGCTCCTTGTCATGATCAGGAAATGACGGAAAATCTCTCGTCAATTCAGTGTATAAATGATGGACTAACAATTAGTCTGAAAAACGTCAGTCAGCATTTGACTCAATGATAAATTGTATTTGCTGACAAGGGCATCGTATTGACCATAGAACTTACGAAATGATTACTTTTAACGAGGCCGTCGATATTTTTGTTTCATCAACTTGCTCGTCAGTAATTTACCTCGTTTTAGAAATTGTTCATGCTTTTGCGTATCGAATCAACTGAGATATATACACTCCGTATGCAGGTGATGAAGGTATATTGCTGCATAAGTAAGGAAATTTGACGATAGAAAAGTTAAAGTCATCACGGTTATCATATATCTTGGTTGTTAGATTACTATTAACGTCTTTTTCAGATAAAAATTTTCAAGTATGAAACAGATGTGTTAGACTCTGTGGTATCTTTTATCTCAAGCTCACCAGGATATATCGTATCGACGTAGGAATGGAAATGATCATTGTTAATTGACAATACGTCGATTTGAAGGCTACAGCAAGTGTTTCCTTCTTTTCACGCATAAGATTTTGCTCAAATTATGCTTCATATGAAGACTGCTTGAGATGATATTAGACTGCCATGAGTACCAATATCTTAACATATTCATACGATTGAATTTGTTTGTTTTCATGTTTCTAAGATTGTTTCAGGACAATTTAACCATCTTTTAACCTGGTGTGACGCGAAACATTGTCAGCAGGCGAAGATCAAGGTCACTTCCGGTTTGGTTGTCTAAAGCTTTCAAATTGTGATAAATTCGATTACAATTTTATATTTATTAAAAATAAGCATATAATTCATGTTAATTGCACTTTCATCTTGTTTTAAATTAATGGTAAGAATCAGAAATAAAAAAAATTATACGTATTTCTTTGATTAAAAAATCAACTAAAATGACACTGAAATAGCTGTATTTATTTATTTATTTTTATTTTATTTTATTTTATTTTTTTATTATTATTTTTTTTTTTGGTTGATTGTTGTTGATTAAAGATTATATTTTGCTGTTTTCCTGGGAAAACATTCAGAATAAAGATTAAAAAAAACATTTTTTATTTTGTACGGCTTAGACAAAAGAACAAATTGTAAAATTATATCCATATGGAAGGCATGGATATCATTTAGTAAGCTCATTGTTTTAAGTTTGTGTGAGGTGTGAAAGGAGGGATAGAGAATATAATTATTTGTTGTTTATTTTCAAAATAATTTTTGTGCTAATGGCAGCGTCTATATTTTGCTATTGGAAACCCAAAATATGTGTCGGATCAAAAAGTAAAATAGGAGATGCACAATGGCAATATGTAATAAAGATTCTGTGAAAGTCTCATTAAATTTCATTCAGATGTATGAGAGGAATTGCGGATAAGAGATGGGTACCGTAACAGTCAGACGGATGTACATCTCGATTACTGTATACCCTCCCACTTTTCATGCAGAGGGTATAACAAGTGGGGGTATAATAATTTGAATAAATTAATAATTATTGAATTAGCTAGTATCGTATACTTAATTACAAATATATTGCACATCTCACATTTTTTAAAAACTTTATTGACAGATTCAAATTGTACAGTAATAAACAAATGCTATTATACTTATCTTAACAGGTGCATGGCACGTTTCTACTTGAAACCACAAAAGGTCTCCACATTAACGTCATCGAGCAAAATTCACATTTTTGAGTTAAAATAACTTCGTAATATATGATACTTATACGTATCTATGAAATTGCTTGTCTACTTTTATCTGCAGAATTATTTCGTTGAAAATCAGTCTGTTTATTCTTCTCACAAGTACTCTAGAGTTGATATTGAAAAGAATAAAGTCTTCGGAGACCAAATCTTCCAACAAAATATGGAATTCTAATGTGCACTAACATACATGTTGTAAAAAATTTGTTTATAGACTGTTCACCTCATCTAGTCATTTCAAATTTCTCCAACAGTTTTTTCTTGATTTCACCCTGAATTTGTTCTTTGACAATTTTTAATCCTTTTCTACCATGTTCTGTCTGTAAAACCATAGATGCGTCTGAAAACAAATTCAATAATTTAATTTCGAGACAAAGGATGTGCCGATATTTTAAAGATGTACATGTACAATGATTCTACCTGTTTTTTGGATTATTGTATCCTTTCGTTTGACAGTCTCAGTTACTTCAGGTAATTTCGGCATTGTTGATGGATTTGATTTTTGCTGGACCTGGTCTTTTTCTTTGTGCTGTTCATTAGCTTGATTCTTTGGAGAGTCTGCCTCTTTTTGGAGTAATGTGTATGACGTCGTATTATCTATTTTAATTTCATCTGGTTCGTGCATTATCAGGGTTTCATCAATGTCGTGATAGATTTGAGTTCTTCTGATGGTAGGACGCCGGGTCACTTGACTCATCTTTGAAGACGGGCGTTTTACTCTGAAACTTATATACATTCGTAAAGTCAAAAAAGGTAACACAGGTAAACATGATAATCCAAGAATAGAACATTCCAATTTCGTTAATTAACCGTTTACAAATCTTTATATATCTACTCTCATAAAAACAATGGGACTATACCATAATCCTTTCGTATTTTGATGATTCTGTTGTATCGAAATTCAAATATGCTCAAATATGATTATGATATACATTACAAATTGCACTAAAACGTCTTTTGATTGTTTTAAATAATGTACTGTCTTTATATAACTTTCATGCTTTTATGATATCGATCATAGAAAAGTCACGGAGAGGAGATGAATAAATAGCCTTAGAATTGATTTAATCAGTCGTGGTGATAATTTAATTTCCAACACCTTTTCAATCGACGACAAATCACAATGACAAAGCCCACCAGAAGAAGGAGACCAACAATTGCGATAATACCTAAGATAGAGAATCAAATATAACTTTTATGTCCGCATGAAAAATGAGAACGCGAAAAGATGAACAACAATCAAATTGTACGTGTATGAGTTCATTTAAAATCATGTAGTTTTCTTACTTCATTATGTATGTAATGTGATGACTTAAACTTTTCAATCTTTAACTCTCTTTTGTTAAGTAGTAACTGTTATTCATTTATTTAATTACCAGATTGAAGATTTGTGAGAATGAAAGTCTCAATTTTCTTTTGTACGGTTTCCTCTTTAGCTGAAAATAAACAAAAATTTTTTATGTTTGTGAGGTAGGGAAACTGTTCTCAGCTTATATTCCCTGGACGTTTTTCTTTATCAAAGAGTCATGGTGATCGTGATTATATATTTGCAAGTTTAAAATATTTATAAATGCGGTTAGCACTGTTAATTAAAGAAGCTATGCAAGAAATATGTATACATGTATGTTCCCAGAAAAAAAGCGCATCGTTTTATATAGTACATGTCAACGTCACATGAATATCTCGATAATTAGATAATATACTGTGAAAAAAGGGATCGTATATTCAGCAAACGACAACTTTTTCAACATGGGAATCAAAAAAATATTTATGTAGGATAAGATTTGTTAGATTATATTTAAACAAATAAATGCGGATTTAAAACATATTTCATTACCTTCTTTTTCATGTGTTCTTGACAAAGAACCTGAAAATTTAAAACTGATTATTTTTTTTTTACACTACTTATTACTGATTATGGTGTTTCTATTTGTTTTATATCGGAACAAAGTTCAAAAGCATAGAAAGTTAAACAAGCTCAACAGAACTTACAATCAAACGCTGAGAATTCTAGTTCTCCATATTTTTCTCTGAGACCGTCCTGCATTGCAAAAAGTATCTTTCTTTTATCAATCTCATAACACGTGGATTTGTTAACTGCTGAAATAACGGCAACTTTTTCGTTGATTAGCTTCCTCACGGACCTGTTGTGAGAATCATCCAAATTATATCGACATCTATCGTATGTCAATTTTGGAGAACCTAGGCAAGTTACTTCAAATATTTAGAAAATTATATTTTTTTCCGAATAAATTATTCCTAATATCATCTCTTCACTTGTAAATGAAAATTTATTCTTTAAAATTCAATGGGGGATTTTCTTAAGTGATCCAAACATGTATCCAGATATAAACTAAAATAGTTTTTAATTCTCATGGCCACAAGCTCATAAACTGAGAACATACTTAAGTCAAAATTTCAAATAAATATGACCTATAAAAATTTTCATAACGAAACAAAACATATTTTTAAAATGGAATATTATACCAAACTGCAAATATCTAATAACATATTATAATAAATCACAAGGTATTCCAAAATCAAAAGTTTGACTTACATATACATGTAAGTATATGTTCTCAGGCCTGATATCTATTGCAAGTACATACCAGCAAAAGGCGTCTTTAGAAACAACAGACAAACTACTATCAAAATTTTTTTTCACTGTTTTTATCACGTTGTTAGATGCACACGGTGAAGCAAAGCCTTCAAAAAGCAGAAGTATAGAACATTAAGAATAAATCGAGACTTAAACCCTCATTTAAAATATATAGCTAGTTGTTTGAATATGCAATACAAGGGGTTTTGCAGTGCTTTTTATAGTTATTAATTATTTGGGTGATTTAGACAATTTAGCTCAAAACTAAAAAGACAAAACAAACAATCAGCATTGGTTTCCTCCGTGATAATTCCTAACTGCATCATTCTAGTCGCTACAGCCCTCATCATCATATGCGAATCTGTGCACCGAATATTGTAGGTTGTTTCCATATTTGATAGGTGACAGTCGATCATTGTTGTAATTCCACTAAAAATATATTTAAAATCAAAACCTTTAAAATCTTTATTTAGATTGAAAAAAAATCACCAAATTCAATTAAGGAGGCTCTCTACACCACTTTTTGATGACTTACTACACAACAAAATTATGATATCATGACCTCCATTTGGACATTTGACATCTACATTATAAGTGATGCTGTGATTTAATCTAATTGTCTAACTGTGGGTGTAATGAGCCCCCTTAAGCATGAAGAGTTATAATGAAGAAATATAAATACTAATTCTTCATTTTCTTAAATATACCGTATGCATTTTAAGGAAAATGGTCTAACTGAGAATTAAGTATTCTTCTTAATATCACATGATCAAAAAAGGTATTTACCTAACTGATGTTGTAAGAAAAAAAAGGTTTTACTTGCAATCCTTGTTGTTTTTTGGACATTTTTCAAGTGATATTTTCAATTCATAGCACGCATTTTCTAGGAAAAATAATTAAATTACTGGTTAATGTCATGTAAGATAAAAATAAACTGATGTTAGCAAATGCTTCATATATATTGCAAATATGTTATTTACATTACATCATCTTTTAACTAGAAACCCTTTTATGTTTTGTATAAAAATGTAACTAATTCATGGTAATCTACCGTATTTTATATGCCTGTTTATCTTCGAATGTGACTGGAAAAATATATTCATTATTTTGATCAAAGGGTATAGGTTAATGTTTGATGCCTTCAAGAGGATGAGAGAACATGCCAATCATAGAAATACAGGCTACACAATTCTCTTTGATAGAATGTAAATTTTAAAATTAGTTTTAAAAAAAATAATTAAGCTCACTTCTTTTCGTATATTCTAATACAAACCACAAACAGGAACGTCGCAATAGTCCCACACAACCTCGGAATGAATAGTAAAACACCAGGGCTCTTCCCTGTCAAAGTTCCTGCAGTAGTTTTCCTGATTTCGACCTAGAACTTCATAGTTATGTCTGTGGGGAGTTTGTTTTGACCATGGTTGACAAGTGAAACCTTTCTTAGTTTGATTTTGTGTCCCCGTGTACAATTGTCCAGGAATTCGACATTCTGGAATAAATGGTATGAACCATTGTAAGAACGGTTTATCAGAAGTACAAATTGTTGATTAACTTGACTGAATTGTTTTATTGTATTAGAGACCGCATATGAAACTGATCAGAGGAAGGTTGTGGATACTTCTTCCTTTCAGAACACCAGGTTTCTCGCATGAAGTGTCAACCTGGTGTCCACTGCTATTAGTCGTTTGAAGGATAATAGCTTGAGTTCTTATGCACTCTACTGTTCGTTTTAGTCCACAGTCACATCTTAACGGATTGGAACCTAAGTATCTGAGTCAAAGAAATAAAGATAAATAAATATTCATAAGTTTTAGTAATATTTAAAGGAAAAAGTACAAAATTAGTTTAAAATACTATAATACTTACAATTGCTTTAGGTTATTTAAACTTTGGAGGACATTTGCATTTATTTCTTCGATGCTGTTCCCATCAAGATGCCTGAATTTTAAAAAATAAATGTCGTACTTGTAAACATGTGTTCGTAAAAAGAAACTGGAAAATATTCCAAATGTTGAAAAGAGAGTGAAGAAAAAGAAGTTTGAAATGTCTGTAGATTTAAAAAATATCATGCAAACTTAAGGCATGAATTGATAAAAATTTTAAAGTTGCTTTTATGAAAAGTCAGATGTTCACAATACCTCTAAAGAGCAGAAAAATCGAACATAGAAAGAGTCAATCGATCTAAACTGTGTTTGCATATTTTGCTTATCTCTACAAAATCCATATGTTTATAAAATAATTCTAAAATTATGTTATAAAGATTAAAAATATGCTAATTGATAATTGATATACTTTGTGGCGTTTTTTTTTTAAATAATTTCATGTACAAATGAATGTTACAAGATGTAAAATCTCTCCGATTTCAAATTAAAGTGCACGTATGTCAGGATTCTTAAAGTTTTAAAAGGGTCTGGAAGTTTATAACAAAATGGATTCAATGTTTATTGCAGTGGTTATCAAATTGAAACATAAACAACGACATGTAACCATAATTATGTTTTAATTAATATGAGATTGGCGACAAGAATACTCAATTGAAGGGGAATTAACAATCAGGAAAATAGAATGAAAGCGGTCTGTTGGGTATCAGAATCTGGCATGGCAACCTCTGGTCGTGATCACTTCCCTGTACCGACAGGAATAACTGTCAGATTACGGAAGGCATCCTCAGGATGAAACTCTCGTTGATATTTCATTAAATATTACTTGAATTTTGAAATATTTTTTGACATACTAATCTCTTGTTAAGCTATATACCAGATGTTTAGAATTTTTCTAAAAATTGTCGTTTACTGATTTTTATTTGAAAATTAAAATAAATATACGACTATAGTTGTGTACTTATTTTTACTTTCAAATAAAAATCAGTAAACGATAAAATAACATGTATCGGAAAAGTTTGAAAAAGTTATTTCCTTGCTTTAATAGTTCCTTTTTTAACAAACACTGACACATAACTAATGAATAAACATCCGCCATCTTATTTATTTATTTATTCATTTATTTTACTTGCCGTCAGATTGAGCAAGAAAAATTTTTAAAAGGTGTATGATTTTCAGAAATCGTTCTATTTAAAGAATTTATTTATCTTTTTATGCACCCAAATCGATAGATCCGAGGCGTTTATTGTTTTTGTCCTGTCTGTCTGTCTGTCTGTCTGTGTGGTTTGCTTGTTTGTTTGTCTGCAAACTTTAACCTTCGCCATAACTTCTGAACCATGAGGGATAGAGACTTCATAGTTGGTATGCATACTTCACTAATTAATCTGTATTAAATGACACCAAAGTTAATGACCTTGTGACCTTGACTGTGGCCTATATGCTAAAAATAGTTTTTTTCTTTCTACGAACTTTAACCTTCGCCGTAACTTTTGAACCATGAAAGATAAAGACTTCATATTTAATATGCATATTCTACTAATCAAGTTCTTTCAAATGACACCAAAGTTAATGACCTTGTGACCTTGACTGTGACCTATATGCTAAAAATGGGTTTTTTCGAACTTTGTTGCCGCCGGGCGCATAGTGTTTCACAAACACATCTTGTTCGGGACTATATTTACAGTTTGGATTTTTTTCTTTATTTAAAACTATGTATGATGTAAAAGACTCTTTGTAAATAATGTGAAATCTACAAGATAGCTAAAATATTGATCCTTATACTGAATGTTCTGTATGATATTTATATAAATAAAGGTAAAATATGAATTTGTTGATGCTTTTGAACAGGACTACAAACGATTAAATTTAAAAACATCATGCTTTAAGGATTATTATGTTTTTATGGATACTTTATTTATCAACAGCTTTTACATCCTGTTGTTTAATATTTGTAAGTTATAGAATAGGAAATAGGAAATTCAAAAAATACACATATAAAAAATTCAATATTTGTAGATCCAAAAATATCATCACTTGAAAGTTGAAAAGTCAATCATTAAAACATATCCAAATAAACCAATAAAATGGCAAGAGTAACATATGAAATGAATAATTATAACAAATTTGTGAATAAATAGCTAGAAAAGTTTATTCACAGATATTTGAATTATCCAAGTTTCTTTCGAAAACAAGTACAAGGTATTGATTTAAGAGAAAGGTTTCGTGTTTTGTGAAAATGATTTGTTTTCCATAGTTTTCATTAAGGCCTAGATAAACATTTAAAGTAGCTGAAAATAGAATTTCAAAATTAATATTATAAAAAATAATGTTGTAAAATTATCATAAATTGTCCCGGTATTCTTTTTTATTTACTTTTTATTTACATTCTTATTAGCTTTTGACTTGAAATAGTTAACGTAGAAGAAAATCATGATCACAAGAATGCAAGGATTTGAAAATCTCCTCTTTCCATTATATATATTACATTATTGTTTAATACTTACAGTACAGTTGTATCTCCGGGAATACTCTCCGGTACGTGGGTAAGTCCTCTATTGTCACATCTCACGACCGTCTCGTTACAGGAACATTCCTCTGGACAAGGTGACACTTTACATATCAAAACAACAAAGATAAATAGAATTTGTCTCATCGCGAGTTATACTATTTACTATCGCTTTATTCTACTAACAAGGAAAACTAAAAGGAAGATTTGATTTAATATATAAGCAGCATTTCATTATGCAAAGGAAGGATGTTTTCAGCGCAGCTCTGTTACAACGCACTTTGACACTTTGAAACATTATGCAATTTTGAAAAACAAATTCAACTGTTAAAAAAGAAAATGAAATGGTTGTTTGATTGGTTGATTTCTTTTCTTTTTTGTTTTATCCAGTTTTTAATAAAAACGATAGATGTAAGGGTCGATACGTGATAAAGCCATTGCTTCGCATGTTGCCATGAAGAAGTGAGCATCCCCTGCCGACCGCTCACACCCACCATGTGCTCCTTGTCATGTTCATGTTCTAGGGAAAAAACGGAAAAAAAAATCCATGGACAACTCAGTGTGTAAATAATGGCCTAACAATCAGTATGAAAAAGTCAATCAGCATAAGACTTTATGACTTTAAACGAGACTTGCTTTTTCAACTTTTTTTTTTGTCCTTAACTTACCTCGTTTTAGAAATTGTCCAAACGTCGAACAGGCTCTTCCATATCAAAACAACTGAGATATATAAACTCCATATGCAGGTGACAAAGGTATATTGCTGCATAAGTAAGAGAACTGTTGACAATTGAAATGTTAAGGTCATCCAGTTTATCGTAAAGCTTCGTTGTTAGATAACCATTAACATCTGTTTCTAGTAAAATATCTAAATATGAAACAGGGGGTCATAACATAAAGCTTGCTAGGTTTTCGGGTCATAAGTATGTTTTAGGCACAATCTTAGGACCTGTCTAAGTACTACTTAAGTATGTCTTAAACCGTAATATAAAACGAACTTAGCGAGGTCTTAGCTAAGTCAAACTAAGTTCACAATTTTCTCATAAATCATGATAGTTTTTCAATTTATATACTTGCATAATAATAAATATTTAGTGAAATACTTTTTTATTATATAAAATTGACGTTTTTTCTTAGATTTTAGTAGATTTTATACTTGCATAATAAAAAATATTTAGTTAAATACTTTTTATTATATAAAATTGACGTTTTTTCTTAGATTTTAATAAGTTCATTATATTTCGTATGAAAATTCTGTTAAAAATTATTATTATTAAAACAAATAAACTCCAAATAATTATTACACGTTCACAATATGGCAAGTTTTCTATGTATATACATGACTTGTTTTTTCACTCGAGGCTGCGATGTATTCAGTGTTCTTTTGTTCTTACTTTGTTTGACAAATGTTTACTCACTTTGTCATTCTTGTAGACATGTCACAAAATCTGGACTTCTATTTACTTGTACTTGAAATTCAACCTCTAATAAACAAAGTACAAAACAAATGGGACATTTCGAATTCTCTCCCATCTCATGTATCAGCGAATATCAATAGGCCAAGGCTGAAAACTGTATGATATACATATAGTATACATATAGTATACATATAGTGATATACGTGTACTTATTTAAGGAATCACTGTCTAGTTAGTAGAGTATGTTGAGAATGATATAGATAGTTTTCGGTAGGCCTGAATTTAGCGAAAGTTACCTCCCGTTGGTCGCCATATTGGAGGTCGACTCGGTGATTTTCCCTCTTTGTCTTACCAAATTTAAGAGGTTGTAGCAGAAATATTTGGTGGAAAATCTTTCATAAATAATTTTTTTTAAATAAAGGAGGCTTCCAAAAATTTATATACTTCAGAAAAGTAATGATTTCTAATTCAAAATAGCAAATATAAGAATTTTAAATTGGTTGAACAATGAAGGAATATTCATGAGCATTTGGACCTCCAGTATGGCGGCCAACGGGAAATAACACTCGCTAAATTCTGGCCTATCGAAAACTATCTATTGGAATTAGTGATTAGTAACCCCCCCCCCTCCGATGAAAACTAAAATTCTTATGCCGTTCTTGCCTAGGGATCATGAAACAAACTTAGACTTCAGACAAATTTTCAATCTCTTGTAAAATATTTATTAATTGTCAACATCAGCTCTTAATTGGCAGTTAACCGCACTTTTAACATGCAATGTTAATGAATATTTTTAATTTAGACTAATTTACTTTTACAACATTTCAGCACACCATAAAGATTTTGACTTAAGCTTAAGATGTTTCATGATCCCAGGGCCTTAAGTAGAAATATTCATTTTCCTTCATGCATGATATGAATAGAGTAATGTTTAAACATGGAAATTCAACATTTAATATTTTCAAATATATGTATAAAAAGTTATGACATACTTAAGCCACCTCTACCAACCGCCTAAGTTTTGCTAAGATTGTCAAATCTAAGCACGCTTCTAGTTACGGTCTTAATTGAAGTTGAAGACTGTACATACGTCCTACTTAAGTATGGTCTTAAACTTAAGTACCCTTTATGTTACGACCCCCAGATGTGTAATACTCTGTGGCATCTTTTTTTCAAGCTATGGAACTAACTATTGTTGACTGGCAATACGTCGTCGATATATCTACGAGGGTTGTCCCGTAAAATCGTGGACAAAGCGTTTTTCTCGAAAAGTAAAGGGCGCACTAAACTGAAAATTTCAGTGAATGTTTATTTATCATATTTAAGTGCATGATAATTTTTTTGATAAAATATAGGCAAAAATAAAGATTTTATTATGCTTGAATGTGCACGAGGTATTGTCCTACGGCGCACGGTCAAAAAACCAAGGGTTTATTAAAGAATACACAAGTTTGAATTCAAAATAAAAATTTTAGATACATAAGATTTGGATTAAAATTATCCTAATTCAATCCACCATCAATTTTGTAGTCTTTGTAAAAATCTTAAGGTATTTGCTTAATATTTGGCAGTTTCTCGAGCATTCGAAATTGGAAAGTGGTAAACACAACACACGAAAAATGGCGACGTTTTATGACGTTACGGCGCACCGGAGAAGAGTTCAGTTTTATTTCTATGTTATAATGACACCTTTAGAGACTTGAAATGACCATAGAAGAAAAAAAAATTATAAAAATATCACCATATCTCAAGTATACAAATGAAATAGGAGTTTTCTTAGCGAAGTTTTTTTTTTCTGATCGAGTCCCTGGGGAGTACAGAACATACGGACAAACTTCTCATGTAATAGCAAAGGACGCTGTTACAGTAGCCCGCCTATATGAGATTTTCTATTAGTTAAATGATGGTGAGAATATTGTCCTAACTTACTAATAAATCTTCAGAAGATCGCATGAGGGTGCCAGTTGCTTCTTCGGCTATTTATGGAGACTAAAGAATGTGTATCAATGAAATTCCTAAATTTATGTCGGACTCATCCAACTTCATTTTCAGCAAAGATAAAACGTGACGCTGTTTTAGACACTTTGACGTTATAATCCATGCGCCGTAAGGTGATACAATACATGGTATAAAATCTCATAATTTGTTTATTTATGCATCTATTTATCTGAAATTTGCTGTGTATATTACTAAAATATGAACTAAATAATAGTGAAAATTTCAGAACGCAGTGATGTTTATTTTTCACACTAGACAACTTGTCCACGATTTTAGGGGACAACCCTCGTAAATGTCGAGTTGAAGATGATCGACAGAGGATACTTACTCACCCATGTTACCTGATCCCACTACTGATGTTTTAGGAGGTGCATGTTTTCTCTGCCTCAATATGTATTGTTTAAATGGACTTTATAAAGATTAATTACGGTTTATTATCTCCCAGTATTTTCTATTCAGTTCAGAACTTCTCAGGTAGGATTGAGTCACAAAAAGAGGATTATTATCCTAGAAAGGAAAGTATTGGAAAACATTTTAAAAAATCTTCTATCCAGGAAAGTAATAGAATTATTGGCCATATCTATATGGAGACATATCCGGGATGTGTAAATTTAAGTTTATTTAACCCCCTGGGTAACACTGGGGTCACAAAAAGATTTAGGACATTATGGGCTATAGTCTAATTGTGTTAACAATTAATACAATTTCAAAGCCTTTGATCATAGTTACATGTAACTTATAGGGCAACATAATCTTTGAAAGTTATTTCATTATAACATCATTATAAAGTTATGTTGTGGATAAGAATCTTTCACTAAGAACCCATTGACATTGACCTTGTCCAAACGAACATGGCGCTGGGTTTAACATGCCCTCTGGTCACATGTATGCCCATGACTATAAATTGTTGTTTTCCCCTTCATTAAAGTTTGGATATGACATGAGTTTTCTATTTGTAAACCCTGTGACTTTACAAATTGCCATTGGTAAGTGTTAGGATATAAAGTTGATCCACAGTAAATTTTGTGTGTTCGCTTGGTATTATTCTTGTTTAATTTCCATTCTATTTCAAGGCGTGACAAGATCAACGATTTATTACTTGTTTTTTCCCAAATAAACTTAAAATGGATCAAGGCAAATTTCTACACACAAGTAATTAATTGAATTCTACAAAGTTTTAAAAAAAATATGAGGTATTTTTAACGATCATCTCCGACATATCGTTTACATACAGACCAACAGACATATGGAGATTGTAATTCATGTATACTTAACATTTCCGTCTTCTCTTTAAAAGTCCTCTCATTTTGACAACTATGGTCTAAATCATTCTAAACACTTATGCCCAAGTTAGTACAATGAAACCACTTCAAACTTACTATAGGCAATTATCAGGTACTCAGGCCAAGTATTCCCAGGAAAACAAAATTAAAGTAAAATGATATTCATTTTTTTTAGAAATCTCAATTTTATTTTATCTAAGTTCTATTGAGGTTAAAATATAGCTTGCCTATAAAATGATGTACTTATACTATCTTGTTACATCGAGATAGTGAAACATTTGGTCGAGACTCTAGTTTAAACTTCATTGTTTACCATTTTATCTAGAAACCAATGGTAGAGTCCAGTTGTGTAGGCTAGCTTAGACAACATTATTAACAGACTAGAATTTAAAAGTAAATCAGATACAACGAAAATAAGACCTTATATATTTTAGAGGACTAATGTTAACTAAGATTAAGGATAAAAAAACAATTGATAATTTTTTTTTCTTATACATGCACATACTCGTAAAAATAGGGAAATGAGAAGTTGAATTAAAAAAATATTTCAGAAGGGA